CCTCCCCTCGAAGCGCTGGTCTCTCGGAGAACCTAGGGCGGTCAGTGAACCCTAAACCCGAAACCCTAAGCCCTAAACCCTAAGCCCTAAACCCTAAACCCTATGCCCTAAACCCTAAGCCTTAACCCCTAAGCCCTAAACCCTAAGCCCTAAACCCTAAGCCCTAAACCCTAAACCCCAAGCCCTACCAGCTGATACCTCGTGTGGTGCGAGGCGAAAGTCTTAGCTTTGCGATGTGGTTGGTGCTTCTAGTGCGGGCCTGAGTGCTGGAGGGCTGTTTCAGGCTAGGGCTTAGGGTTTAGGGTTTAGGGTTTAAGGTTAAGTTCTGGAGGTCGGGTTAGCCCGAGACCTAAACGCCAATCCCGAAACCCTCAACCCAAAACACTGATGCCCGCGAAGCCCGGCCCACCTGTGACTGCCACCAAAAATCATCAAAGCGTTGAATTCCAAACCCTAACTGAAAACATGCCCTGAAGCAGGTCAACCCTAAACCTTACTTAAAAATTTGGCGGCCTGGGTAATAAGAGGGCTTGTTATACATCCCCTATTTGGGGTTGACCTGCTCACAACCTTGTTTATAACCTACGTACTAGGTCGGCCTGACCCTCCAAGTGAACCGCTAAACCCTGTAACCCTAATCCCTAAACGCTAAATCCTAAACTGCGTGGGAAGCCAGGCGTTTTAGGGGCGCTTCGGAGCGGCAAGGACTGCGGGAGGGCTGCGGGTTTAGGGATCTAAGGGTTAAGGGTTCGAAGGGCCAACTACAGGAGGGGGGAGTTTTTCCATGGGGATATGGTGTAATGTGGAGTTATAGAAGGGGTATATGAGGCTTGCGCAAGGTCCCCTCTGATCCTTGCTGCTAGCCAGCAGGACATTGGGTAGCATTTTGGGAATATTTTTCCTCACTATTTCATAAAGGGATCGATTCATGAATGATTTCGTGAGCCTGTAAAGTACCACCCTATGCAGTAACGGCGTTCTGGTTGGGGGGAGTGGGTTTACTGCTCAGGAGGCGTGAGCATGGAATTTCCTATCAGGACACTAGAACCCTAATCCCTAAACCCTGAAGGGTGGGTGTGGCATAGCTTTCGGGGTGGAAGCGGTCCTCAAAGTTGTTCCAATGCTTCTGTACTGGCATCCCAGGGCGTTGAGAGATTTCATTGAAGTGAAGCCCGAAGCTCTAGGTTCGGAGGTAGGGTCCGTTTTTATGCGTCTCTGTAGTTTCTGAACATAAAAGGGTTTAGGGTTTTAGGGTAGAAAGGATCAACATGAATAGATGTTAGCGCGCTGCAGTCTGTAATTTTGTACCCGGTGCTGGAGTTTCCATTCACATAGGGTACACCGGAAAAGGGGCCATAATTCTGACCACCCCCTCCCCATAATAACACGCCACAAACCCAAAGGGAATACACATGTATACACATGCACATATGCGGGTACATAGGGGAATGGAAAAGAACTGGACACTACTCTAACATTTAGGATGTAGGGCTGTGACCACCCCTAAACCCTAAACGCTGACCCCTAAAACCTAAACCCCAACCCGTAACCCCTAAACGCTAACTCCCTCCCCCGATACATTCTGTAATAGGGGACAAGTAGGGGAGAGTGGTAGGCTTGTACATGAATGCAATACACTTATTGCTTAATTGTTACTGGTGGATGCAGTACCCAAGTTGTAGACATTTGTTCT